TGGGTCTCCTTCAGGTACAGGGTCTCGCGCTCCTGGTCGTCCTCGGAGGCTGAGCCTGTCCGTCTCTCCCAGGGCTCCCTCTGGACAAAAGACCAAGACAGTGAGACAGACGGGGGGGTGTGATGTCAGGGCCATACGACAGTGCTTTACACAGAGAGTGGGGGGGGGGGGGGGGGGGGGGGGCGCCAGGGCACACAGGTCATTTCTTTCACCTGTGGCAATGTGGAGGTGAACAGGAGATGAAAGATGAACAGAGAAAAACAGGGAGAGAAAGCCCGGATGTCCTGGCTAATGGCACGGGAAGCAACTCCCGGAGTGTCTGTTACCGGACTCTTTCCAAAATTCCCCAAAAATCGGAAGCGTTGGTTAGACTCCTTGACTGTTGGGAGACCGGCATGTCATGTCATGGTCCGTGACAGGGGTGAAAAAGAGAAGACAACCCCGCTTCTGCGATGAAATGCAATTGTGCCACATCCATAAAGAACAAGAAATGGGATCTTAAAAGAAAGAGATTAGATACAACACAACAATGGCAGAGGAGAGACGGACAGGGATTTCCACATCGTTGGTCCCAACTGTATGTTGCATGCATGTTCCAGAACCAGTCCTTCATGTATACAGTACATTCCAAGCACAATTTTTCACAGTATCAATACAGGATTGGTTACTGGATTAAACCAGAAACTGTCTTAAGAAATCGACAATCACATAACCATAGAGGTGCACAGATCCACGTTAAAGCAAGGCATTATAAAAAGTACTCGGTACCTGGCTTTTATTGGCCAGGAAAGGTTTAAGAAGGTAGAGTGAAAAAGCCTTGAGAAGAGATGAGATGAGAGGCAGCAACGCACACAAGTCTAATGGACTTGGCAGCATGCAGTCCGAGGACTCTGGGAGTGTGGGAAGCGAACACGGGGGAGATCCAGATAGTGAAAAGGTTAAAGGGTGAGGTTAATGAGGAGACAGAGATGGACCAAGGCCAGAAACGGATGCTGAGGTTAATGGGCAATGGATGATGGAGGGGGTGATGTTTTAAATCCAAGAAAAAACGGGCAACCTGAGATTCGTCAAGCGGCTCTTCGTGAATGGCGGGAGTGGAGAGGGGCTCCTGCAAAGGCAAAAGGACAGCGGTCCAGAGTTAGTCCAGCATTGCCATGGCAACGGGGCTGGGAGGAAGTAACAGGGCCAGGCCTGGAGTCTACCGGCTCTCAACTTCTCCGCCAAAAACGCCTCTCCTCAGAGACTCGACCAAACTCTGGCTCAGCGTGACTGGCAATCCAGCAGCACCAAGAAATACCACAACATATTTTCTATATCGCCATTTTAATACAGCTCCCTAAACTGTTAGGACCTTTCATTTCATTCTCAGCTCTCTCCATAAAGTAAGAACCAACCTTTCCCATTAGATACATGCTCCTGTATTTAGTGACCTCTGAATTAACCTGTACATTCAGACACACACACAAATAAAAAAACAGCCTTCAGATACAATGTGTAATAAATTTTCAATACAACATGAACGCTATTCCAAATTTCACATAATATGAAAACACAATATGAAAGCACTAATTTTACATATTTCCAAACCTCCAAAACACATACTTATTAAGACCTACAGTATTTGTATAATTGTATGTTTTAGTTTTAGCAGAAAAAAAAGACACCTAACCAAACCATTACAACAGTAGATACTGTAAAATGTCTATGAAACAATGAGACCAATGCAATGACTGTTTGTGCCTGTCCCAGAAGGTGTCCCACAACAATAGTTACTCCAGTTAAATATGTATTTTATAAATCTCAAACAAAATCTGAAAAGAATTGGGCTCACAGATAGGTCCAGCACTAGGCCAGAATATTTATATAAATATATATAAATAACCACTATGGGTAAATACTGACAATACTGCCTGAATGTGTGTGACAATGTGACCTGTTTGACACTGTGTATATTTGATGCAGAGTGCTGTATATTTCACTGCGTCACATCTGTGGTCATTGAGCACAGTATCTTGTATCAGTATCAGAGATCGAAGCAAGTACAGTAGCAGTGGTCTGGCTTCTTTCTCCAGGTCAGCCAGGTTTAGACTGCATGTGGTGTCTAACACTAATTCCAAGCAGGAATTCGGAAACATTCACCCAGAATTAAGAATTCGTGTTGTTGTTTTTTTGTCAAACACCTGGATTTTCCCCCCAGGAATTTCACTTCATGAAAAGTAATTCTGAACCTGTTGCAAAATAACCCACCTATGCCCCTATTAACATTCCACTGGTTCCAGAGCCTGACATATTGCAACTTGTAATTACTGCACTTTCTAAATTACTGTGGCAAGCAGGATATTTTTTAAATGTGCCAGGAAAGGTTTTCTTAGGGTTTTCCCACCTAAGAAAACCATGCATCTCTCTCTCAAATTCTTGAAGCTGCTTTGCTAGTTCTGTAGAGAGTGGGAAAAAGCTCTGAGACACCATTCCCTAAGTAATAAAAGAGTTGAACGCTGACAAGGAAAGGTGATAACGTAGAAACATTCATGTATTGCAAGTACAATGCTTAAGATATAAACAGCTCACTGCATATGGCAGAAAAGGCCTTGATTGGTATTGCCAGTATATGTCTAATCTGGGATCTCTAGTATCTGGTTCAGTTTGGCTGAAAACCTGATATTCTGTGAAAGTGCACACCCATATGCAGCACAAACCTTCCTCTGCTATCCTGCAGCATTGAACTCCCCTGTGGAACATCTCATGAAGTGGAAGAGGCTGCAATTTCAGCACCTCACACGTATTTGTGGGTATAATATACACGATCAGCCACCCTCCTACAAATAGCCAAGGAACTAGGAAGGCATAAGAGAAATTAAACTGATCCCACATTTTTCCATCAGTTACACAGAGAAGTCAATAAGGGATAAGATTTGGAGTGAAACTACATGTCACTGTTAGACTTTACATCCCACAGTCTTTACCAATAAGGTTCTTCTCTCCACCCCCTGAACCCGAGTCATTCAGATTCGCCATCCCTGAATTTCTGCTGTGTGGTCATGCCCAGCTTCTGGCCCCACTGGAGCCTACACAAAGTACGGTCCAGTAACACCTTTGAGGCCGGCACAGAGGAGAGTGGTGGTGAGATCCAGAGCCTTCGTTTTCCTTTCCGAACCTCAGAAACGTCAAGCTGATTATCAAAGAACAAAACAAAAGGTACTGAAAGGAAAGAGAAGGTCTGAACAAGGTTTCAGGAAGGGGAGGGGGACGAAAGCCACAAGCCAAAGCATGGACACTACTTTGCTAGGGTCAATGCACAGCCCTCTACTGAGTTCTGCTGGCACGCAAGCAATAGAGCCTAAGTGTGCACTTAGAGGAGGAGGGGGAAGGGGGATGGGGGTACAGTAGATTGGAGAGCTCCACAACTCGTGAAGGAGGAGGAAAGCTGATGGCCGCACTACTGCATCAGCCAATGAGACAAAGCCAAAAAGTGCTGCATACACTTTTTCTTTTATTTTTCCTCTTTAGTACAGGCACATATACTCGGCGCATGTATACCCATCAGGTCAATAGAAACAAAAAGTAAAAAAACAAAACAAAATGGAGGTGCAGTTTCTCTTGAAGCACATGCTATGTATTGTTCCAATGATGGAAAGCGGATGCCAAGCACAGGTTTACCGCGTGTTTTTTCTTGGCCATTTCCAGGCTGGGGTCCTTGGAGGCAATCCGGCTGTTTCGGAGGATGAGTCCAGACTCTCGAGCCTTCTGGGTTTTAACGGGAGGCACGGGGGGAGCGTTTTTGTGGGTCACAAGGGTCTTTGTGCAGGGCAGACGGGGCACTGCAGGCTCTTCCCAGGCCTTGGACGGATCTCGCTCTTTGCTGCGGGTCTTCTCTCTCTCATGCTCCTTCACTTCCTTCTCCAATTCCTTCTGCAATCGCTTCTCATCCTCCGACTCCTCTGAGCAATGGGTTTGTTGCTCAGAGGGGTCAGGAAGCTCCGTGTGTTGGCTGTCAACTGGTTGTGCAAGACAGAGATTCGGACCCAATTCACGAGAACTGGAAGACTCATATCCCATCCTTGTGGCATCAGAGTAGGGCTCTGCTTGAATCTTTTCTCTGATATCCCTTAGGTCTTCTGTACCTATGTCTCCATTCTCTTGCTGGATCACATGCTGTTTGGTTGTATCGTTTTGTGTTTCTTGTTTTTCCTCAGACAATTCTATTGTTTTAGGTTCAGGCACTGGCAGTTCAGGGATTCTTTCTTCAACTCCTTCATCACAAGACCCTTCTTTAGCTTCATCTGCTGGGATCCCTTTGCTCACCTCAGATTTCTTCCAAGCAATCTGCTCCTCACTACTTTCAGGCTCCTCTTTCTCTGATTGCTCTGGACTCAGAACATTACTCTCAGAGGTCTCTGATGATCTCATCTCATCTCCTTCCTCTACGAGGATTCTCCCTCTTTCTTTTCTTCCTTCTGAAGAAACATCTTTTTCTGACAACTCCATTACAGACTCACTCTTCTCTTCACCAGGGAGCCCAGAATCCTCTTCTTCCTCCTCTACTGAATACATCTCCTTGCTTTCAGGTGGTGGAACATGCCATGAATTCTCATCCTCTTTTTCATCTCCAGGTGTTTCTTCTTGTCCACCGTCCTCTTGTTGCAACATAATTGGAGCTAGGACCTCTTTCTCCTCTGTTGCTCCTACAGAGCTCTTTAAACAGCTTGCACTACTATCCGATTCATCTTTCACATGTCTGACCTCTGGACTATTCTCCCAATCACAGAGCTTCTCTGTGTCTTTAGAAACATTCATCTCCAGTGAAGAAGGTGCTTCTTTCTCCTTTTCACGTTCCGGTGGAGTTCTCTCCGTTTCTGCACTCTGAGCTGTGCTTTGATCATCCTTCTCCATGACTCCCGTAGTATAATGTGTCTTCACTTTCTCATCAGCTTCTGTGTTCCGAGTCTTCCCAGTTGCATCCTCCTCACTTTGACGGAAAGCTGGTTCAGCCTCTTTCTCTTCCAGGTGACCAACATGTTCCGAATCCGAACCTGCAAGCTGATTTTTCACCTTAGGTTGCAGGTCTTTGGATTTCTGAGGACTACTAGTCTTAGTCTCTGTGAGCTTCTCTATTTCATCCATCTGCAAGTACAGTTCTGCAGACACAGTCCCACTCTGTTGTTTGTCCGATGCAACATCCTGAGGTTTTTCTTCTAAGTCTTGATCTGTCTTGGCTAACGGACTGCTGTCACTGTCAGAGTCTTTGTGCTGTTGTTCCCCATCATTCAGCTTGACTTCTCTCTCGTACACAAACTCTGATGGCCTGCCCAAGTTGAGGCTCCGGGGTCTCTTTTCACGACAGATTCTAGTCTGCTCGCTTCTGTTGTACGTGATGGTGCCTTCAGAGTTTCTTGCCTGAACCAAGTCATTATCGTGCAATTTGTCCTCCACTGGTTCTGGGTCATTAGCTGGAGCTTGGAGCTGAGAATCCATAGTGATGACAAGTTGGTCATAGTCTTTGTTTGTCTCAGGACTGTCTGGCTTGGTTTCACCAGATTCTTCGTTTGAAGGAACAGTTTTGTCTTCTTGAGGCTCCTCTCCATTCTCTCTCTGGTCGTGCTTCATTTCCTGATCATCTCTTGCACTTTTGGGTTCCTCTATTCGTTCACACAGGAAGTAATGACCTGCCTCTTGTGGTGAGATACTAGTAATGTCGTTCTCCTGTTTCAATTCAATGCTCAGGTCCTGTTGGCTAGTTGCTTGTTTTTCAATTAATACCCACTCCTCAGAGCCCTATATGTTGATATAGATTAAACACAGTTAGCATAGCTTGCTGTCATAGTGCACTGCCTACAGATATTACAGCCTATTTTCTCTTACTCTAGAGAACAAGAGGATACTACATGCTTATTTGACTTTTGCAAGAAATGTACCCCTCAAAACAGGCACGACTGCATGTTTGCAAAGTTTTCAAAATAAGGTTCTGGAACCCATTTAAAGGTGCACGCTACAGTTGGACTCCCAGGTGGCTGCTTACAACAGAAAGCAAAAATTATAGTAACAAATATAAATCTTATGAATACTGATCAGACATATCATACAAACATTTGCTGACTGTGTCTGACTTACTTCAGAGTTGACTGAAAGCATGGCAAGAATCTGCTGAGTGAAAGCATTTGAGCTATACTTGGGAACGCCTTAAATGTACATATACAGTATGTGAAGTTTCCTGGACACCCAATGATACAATCAGCACATTTTGCTACTAAGAGGAGGAAGGTAGAAGAGAGAAGGGCAACCTCTGGAGATGACATCACAGTCTTCTGGATGAAGCCTTCCAGACCAGGGCTGATCACAGGCTCCTCCCCCCCTCCTCCTCTTGACACCTGATTGGTTGTTTAGCAATCCCACAGAGGCGGAGCAAGAGAAAGAACAGAGAGCAGTAGTTAACCATGAACTCCCTGTCACTGGCTACAGAAATCTGCTTTACTTCTGCATGCTGCCAGCAAGTCACATCTGATCAGCTATAGCATCACAGGTACTATAGCTGCTTCTATGGCTAGTTGCCTGGAAAATTCACCTTAAACTTAAATGTTCTTCCTGACATCAGTGAGCACTTCTTTGTGTACTGGCAGTTCAGACTAGTCAAAGTATCTTCTCATTACTTTCCACAAAATATCCTGGATGGAGTGTAAAAGGTTTCCTAAGTTGACACTAGGTTCCACCTCTGTGTGTAAAGCTTATTGTATCAAGACAATGGAATTATCATTTAAATTCTTAGACTCTTAAACCATACTCAAATCAAACAGCACAGAGTGCATATATTTCTTGCGTGCAGGGATCTCATTGGCAGGTGTGTAAGGTACCGGGTAGGGCAGAGTGTGAATACAGCACCCCTGGAGCACGAGGGAGAGGTTCCACAAGACTTTCCAAGTAGCCAGTGGTCCAAGACACGGGGATACAAGCCACTATGCTGGCAGTACAAGTAATCAAACAACGAGTCAAAAGGGCCGCCAAGAAACCACTGTTGTGGTTTTCCTAACGTTACATGCGTTCATCCTGTGAGCATCTATTTCCTGTGAGAATTAGAGTTGTATGAGAGAGTAGTTGTATAAAGTGTGGAGTACGCTTGTACAGGGACTGGTGTTATTGTTGTATGAGAGAGTTGTTGTATAAAGTGTGGAGTACGCTTGTATAG